CAAAGAGAACCTTACTCAGAAGGAAAATAATAAATTGTTATAAAACACAATTAAAATCCTCTAACTGTCTCATTAATTGCAAATATCTCCTTTGTCCCTCCACACTGGAAATGGTGCTCACCAGTTTCACTGGTGGGTGTGAAGAGCACAGTAAGGCATTTCACATGTGTTAGACTGGAAAACCACACATTTTGAAAAGGCGACAGATCAAGGGGTAAGAAGGAAAATAATAAATTGTTATAAAACACAATTAAAATCCTCTAACTGTCTCATTAATTGCAAATATCTCCTTTGTCCCTCCACACTGGAAATGGTGCTCACCAGTTTCACTGGTGGGTGTGAAGAGCACAGTAAGGCATTTCACATGTGTTAGACTGGAAAACCACACATTTTGAAAAGGCGACAGATCAAGGGGTAGGGCTGAACACTTGAAAACTCTAAATTCAAACTGTATTTAGTTTACCCAAGGTTGACTTTTCACTTACCCATTGATAGATGTTCTAGACATAAAAAGGCTAAAAATAGAGGACACAAAAGAGTGATAGAGCTGGATAAACAGCCAGCCTGACTTCTCAATGCTGTTGTTCAAGAAGATCTGTGTTCCTTGGTCAAGGTAACTCTGCACAAAAATAGGCTGAAGGGATTCAGACAACTGTTCAGTGTTGCAGACATACCACTAGAGAAAGAGACAAAGGATCATTAAAAAGTTCAGCAATGTAAAACTAGAAGTAGTTAAAATTAATACATGGAAAACTATAATCAATTTCCATAAATATAAATATTTAGTTTTTCCTACAGACTTTTCTACAAACTTCAGGATTAAATTAACTTAGAATTGTAATGAAGCAAAGATCAATTACTTGCTAAGAAACAGTTCTTTTAATTTTTCTCTTAGTCATTCCCCGTACTTTGAAGAAATCTACAAAGTAAATTCCCTAGGAAGCAAACACAGGTCCTCTATGTTACAGCACCATAGTGATAAATTAGTATGAAGTGGAACTTTTCCCTAGGCATCCTCTGAAAAGAAATCAGCAAGTGCAATTCCAATAATTTTCAAGGAAAGGAGATAAGAAATCCAATAAATACTGAAGACCACAGCTTGTCTGTCTTATAGCTGGACTGTGTTTCCTCACCTAACAGTATCAACAAGAGGATCCATAAGTGTTTCAAGCAATTGTATCTGTGAAGCTGCCTCCCATCCTCCCTACTAAACAAGGGAGCAGGTTCCCTGAAAAGCAGTTCTGTACTTTTATATTGGTAAAATCTAAAGCTCAAGCTAAAATAGGCCAGTAACTCCTTTAGCTTTGTGTTACCTGGTAACAGCCACATCTACACAAACGAAACTAACTCTGATATGTTTCTGTTTGTTCAGTCAATTGTGAAGAAAAAGAATGCTACTTTTTGCTATCAAATCTAGCTGAAAAAGTAATAAACCATAAAATACTTACTATTTTACTATCCATGTGCAGAGCACAGCTGAATTCCTTTAAAACCTGCTCTACATGATTTTAAATGCAAAAATTTGTGCAAAACAAGGCAAACCTTCAGAAACTCGGAAATTTTAGGACCCTCGTGGTCACCTGCTGCACCTCCAGCAAATGCTTCTAATGCTGCAGCATTCTGGAATGTCAGCACTGCTAATAAGATTCAAAAGGTGGCTCACTGCTGGGTTGCAATGCCAAGCTAAAACCCTCCTCCACTCAATATGCAAAAGTTGTAAAGTAAAAGTTTTAGATGCAATTTTAATTAAGAACATCACTATTATTTTTCACTCTTCTATGCTTACATGGAGCTATTGTCAGTCCTTCTCAAAGATGCTACTTTGTCTGATTTCTAATATCAAGACTTGTTCCCTACAGCTAACACCCTCTTATCTCCTCAGATGTTGCAATAATGTCCCTTAATCTGGTTGCATGTGTTTGTTGTGCAGATAGGGAGTTGTAAGGATCTTAGAGAGAAATGGAGCAACAGACCCTTGTAAAGAATGCACACAGGACAGAAACAATCAGCTGGGGTAACTCCCCAATGATTTAACACCTAAGATTGTCTATTGTGTCCATGCAAAATGTGTCCTCATATCTTGATCCATTAACATTTGGTTACCTTGTTGGGACATGAACATTCACTTAATGCATGTTTACGCAGCATTCAGCACAATGGGACTTCCAGTCATTACTGTGATGCAAATAATAATGGGACAGGATTCTTATTCCAGTCAGTGTCTGTTGCTTCACAGTAGCAGTGCCAGCAAGCAGAGGGAGTAGACAACTGCACCAAGGTCACTCCATCAAACACTGTCCCAAAGCAGTGAGGGATGTTAGGACCCTTCAGCTGAGGAGAAAACATATGCCTACTTGGGTTCATTGTGAAATCCACCTGCATAATGGGTCCATTTCTGGCAGAATCTGTACTTTCAAACACACCTGTAGGTAGCACAAGTGAGTGATTCTTTTCTCTCACAGATTTTTGGCAAGTCTGTCCCATGTGATGGAGCCTGGCACAGGGTTCCCTGAGGCTGCTGGTTTTCCAGTTTAGACCTTTTCTCACTGCAGCACAGCACTAGTTAAATGAATCACCATAGTCCAGTAATTCTCTAAAGGAATACTTAGTGGGTTGTGAAAATCCCACTGTGTACTTTGTCCATCCATATTCAGCAGCAATTTCAGGAGCCTGGCAGAAGCAAACGATCCCAAGGAGCTGAGGAACAGGCTGGGATATGTGTCAGGTTCACTCGTGAGGCTGCTGCCTCATGACATTGGACACGTTTGGAGTGACTCAGATGATTTGCCTTCTGCAATGTGTTGCCATTTTCAACCCAGAAGAAAACATATTTCAACTCTCTTTGGGAAACACAGGCTTTGCCCCACAAGCAATATGACTACACATATGCGGCACCTGAGCTCATACATCTTGAGGTTCTGCACTGAACTGTCACCTGTAGTTCCACTGAAAAACAACTGCCCAACAACTCTTGTCTTTAAGACTTCTAAATATTGACATAACCACTGGCAGAAAGATGATGGTATCAACTGAGACAAGCTTGTTTCTAGAACTTAGGTGGTGTTCATAGATCTCATCTAATTTCTTCTTCAAGATAACGTTTAGTGGCATGTGGGATTTGGTCAAAGTTTGGACTTGATGACCTTAGAGGTCTTTTTCAACCTTAATGATTCTGTGGTTCTACAATTCATGGTTAATCTTGCCAATAAGGTTATTGACAACTACCTATATCACACCTAGCAAACAATAAGACAACCAAAAAAAGGTAAAACCAATACAAATTTCACATGAAAAAGATAATGAAAACCAGCTTAATTCTGGAACTATTTCCTCAGAACAGAAACTGCTTTTGTTTTCCACCATGTACAATACAAGAATGACACACTTTCTGCCATGAAACTAGTGGTCTATCTCTTACAGCTTTTCAGACTGTTGTGCTAAGACCTTTCTTACAATAAAAATTACAGTTATTGACAACTCTTGCCTAATATTAGTGAAAGGATGAAAGAGTTCTTTTAGTTTTATGTAAATTACCTAAGTCAGTAAGACTGCAGAGAGTGAAAGCACCAGGGGCCTCAACATGCAATCCTTACTTATGAGTAACCCCACAAACTCCGTAATCATAAATCTTACCAAATGTACTAAATAATCAATACTCTACATTTAAAATCCAGATCCAATAAAGCAGAAATGGAGATTATCCATTGAGGACCATCTACCTGTGAATGATACAATCATCTCCAGAACACATTTCCTTGGCTGACTTGTCTTTCCAGTACAGTTTTTAACAACACAAAAGACTTTCAGATTTTCTTTGTTCACTGGAAGGAAGTTCTTTCCGTAAACCTAAATTCTGCTTCTCTTTGTACTGCTCACAGGATGAGTCAAAAGACCAGACCACATTCATTAAACCCCAGTGATACATCCACCCAGTAGCAAGATCCTGGAAGTCAGTGCCCACCCAGAGCACTAAAAAGGCTGCAGTAATGGATCAGCTTGAAGAATTATGGTGCATAACTATGGTCTTCCTTTGTACAGCAGTCCTCAAGTGTTTATGCTATGTCTTCTTAGTCAGCTCAGCTCTGCATATTTTACCTAGATTAAGATGCTATCTGCCTTCCACACTGAGAGTTTATATTAGCCTTCTAACTCCTGTCAGATTTTCAGCAGCATTTTGCCAAAACCTAGTGCAGATCTGAACACGTTCCAAACGAAATCTATCACACCACCGCTGCACTGCAAGGGTAGAGCCCCTAACTTCTCCACGAGGTACTGATCCATGTGCCTACACCGCCCGAATACAGCACTAACCTTTCCCCGCAGCCGGATCCCATTGCAAACTCACTTCTAGTTTGCCACCTACTCCTGCTCCAAGGGCTTAGAATCACAGACTCACAGTCTTCACGGTTTCCCACTTGTTCCGTTTTCCTCTCGACGCAGCAGCGCTTATCGCACACATCTCCGCGACGACAAACTCACCGCGCCGAACACAACCCGCGAACTTCCCGGCGCGCTGGCGGGGCGCGAGGCTCCTCTCCCGGGAGACCGTG